TAACAAGTATGCGAGTCTCTGAATTAATGTGGCAGACTACGTTTTATCTGAAAACAACAATTACGACGCATGGTAGGGCGAAAGAATGATACTGAATGACCGACAAGATTGCGGGATATCCAGACCTGAGGGTGGAATGACTGGTTGACTACGGTTAATGAGGCGAAAATGACTTCCATAATCCTTCTTATTTATATCGGTATCATCTTCTGCGTGCTAGTCGCTATCTGACCGTCCCTCAGGAGTTTAAATCCAGCTCCAAGACTCAGCGGGACAAGAATATTTCGTAACCAAACAAGTGGAAAATCATGGTCTAGCAGTCCCGCTTGTCATCCTTCGAGGCCTAATTATTCCTGCTGTCACCAGACTAAGACAGAACTCTTTAAAATTAGAAGATTTAGAAGACAGGATCTCCAGAGATTCTGTCAGCAATATCAGGCGACGATAACGTTTGGTACTTGGAACCCATCGATCCGCTATGGTTTCTTATGGCGGAGAGGGCGAGGAAAATGTCGAGATCGACCACCGTAAGGGTAATAATTGGTGCAAGTTGTTTACAAATGAATTTTTCGAGATCGCGAAGAGGCAGTATAGGCAATGACTAAGAAGTGTAAACTTCCTTAAAATAACCATGCTCCTAAAGTTAGGCTGTTGAAAAAGGCCCCTCCACACAGACATGTGACATTATAAAGCCATTCGCAGTTTGAAAACAACGCGGGGGCGTGAGTGCATATGCACATGAAAGTTCCAAACATGAGTGAGAAGGAACAAATGAAAATGAACTGATTTGGGTGCTTGCATACCTAATACTTACTTACATCGGCATATGCAATTCCTTTTGCAAAATGTCTTGCATTATAAAGCCTAAGTTTTGTTACATTTGCGTTTGTTGCTAAAAATTAGGTCGTTTCGATGTATGTAAACACACGAGAATAAACAACGTATTTGAAATGTCGCAAGGAATTCTGACATGCTGTCAAAAATTTCTAGCATCCTCGAAATTAATCTTTTGCTTCAGTTCTGTGAAGGTGCCCGTTTACAAATTGAAGAATTTGAAGTCCACGAACGTATGTCTTCGATTACTCTTCATCAGGCCGGTACAGTAATAGGTAAAGCAACGAAATTTGAGAAGAAAAACAAGCTGTGAACACGTGTTTGTTAACCTGACTTTTCAAATTGTGAACAGTAGTCATAACTCGCGGTAAATTTGTTCAGACTTGTAGGGTAGCGGAGTACTTATAGTCTAGCTTCTGTCAGTGAGGAAGAGGGGAAGGGGAGGAGGTAGGGTAGTGTGATTGAGTTGTGCTTATGTTTCGTCGCTGGGGCTCGACGTGCTGTGGTGCGGGTCGGAAATTTCATGACTCAGCTTTGACCAGGATAATAGGAGGGCTTTAATGAAGGAAGTCAGCGAGCATGAGGCTGGATTCGTAAGTCTTATGGCCACTGCCTCCGCCGTCGCAAGTATTCGTTGACGTAGGAACTTGGAGTGTCTTGCCGGCACTTTATATATGACGCGGAATGCTTGGTTGGCGTCTTCCTGGTGGCCGGTGTCAACCAAGTGAGCCACAATGGCGCTGGAAATGAACTTTTCCTCGTTTTGATATAGTCAGGCAGGATGGTGCTCTCACATCCGCTTGGATAGGCGCCTTGTTGTTGACCAATGTAACCTGCTCCACAGGAGGAAGTGAACGCGTAGATGTACATTGCGTAGGGCTGAAACGGCAGCTTATCCTTGTTTTCGAGGCGGAGAAGTGGGGTGCTAGAGAAAATTAGTCTTATTCTAGTAGAAGGGTACGTGCGTGCAAAAACGGAGTTTAGCCGACGTTGTAGAAGATCAAAGGCCGGGTCTCCTAGAAACAATAAAGTAAGAAAGTATTCTTTCTTGTCCACCGTCAAATATTCGAGTTTGGTGGATGATCTTCCATACATCTGCTGTTTAAATTTGTCGGGGAGCCATTTCCTTGCACAGTGTTTTGCATCCAGTGCATCCGGAGTAAAAGTTCGTCTAGTTCTGTTGGTTAGACAACGGACAAGTTTCGTTTCTGACTTAGAGGAACAAAGCTGTAGAAGTTTGTGCATTGTCCTGTCCATGTTTTCCTGCAATATATACTTCTGCGAATTGTTCCATTCTGCTAAGTAGGACGTCCATAAATGGCAGACATTCCCCCTTCTCCCTTTCCAAAGTGAAGGTTAATGCTGGGTGAGCCTGGTTTACTTTAAGCAGAAAGGCATCCAAATCCAGTCTATCATTCGCTTTAACAAAAAAGTCTTCGACATAATTATCCCGCTGCCCTACAAGTCTGAACACATTTACCCCAAATTATGACTATTGTTCATAAGTTGCCTTACTTCTCAAATTTTGTTGCACTACCTGGACCTATATTAATGTACCGGCCTGATGAACAATAGTCAAAAACGCACGTTCGCTGACTTGAACTTACTCAAATAAAAGTGAGTTGCCCTGGGTGCCTACAGAACACATCTAAACGACAAAATACCAAAATTATCCTAGAGTTTGAATGTGCTAAAATGTTTCTGGTCCGGTCTGGGTGGTTTTCTAGGCAATTAATTGGGCACATATTTTTGTTTCTTGGATGAGGGCAGTAAGTGAAGATTTACTGTACACATTTACGACAAACAGTAGCTCCCAACTCTACATGAAAAGTATTCTACCTAAGAGGCAAAGTGGAAAATAGTCAGGCTTATTTATTGCAACATCGTGTGCTAGTAATGTTTTTTCTAATAACTGATAGAATTTTCAAGCTGCCTAATAATGACTTCAAGACTCTTGTGGATATTAAACCGATTGAGCGGCCTTATCCCAACGGGTTGGTTTAAGGCTTTGTAATGTAATTTGCTTCAACCTATCGTGACACTATAAAGAGAGTTGGAAAGCATGGATCTGTCAAATGCCTAAGCATTCCTGTAACTTTGTGCATATTCTGTTTTATCGGATATGAGTCAAATAAAAATTGTATTCTACGATCACTAACTAATACTTTGTTCCTTGTATTCGCAGTCAGCACTTCAAAGCCTTCGATTTCCAGTGGTCTCCGGATGAACAATATACAGAGCTGACTTATTCCGCCAACATAACTTATGAATTTGAAAGGAAACTCTCCGCAGGTGACCCGGAGAAGGATATTTTGTTTGCACCGAAAATTCCCGACATTGTAAGTCCGAACTGGAATATGTCGCCTCGATATTCCCGCACATTTATATGTAACGTCCAAAAAACAAAAATTGGCCAATAGAAGCTGTAGCACAATAAGCCATTTCAAGAGCCTTTTATTTTCTCTAATGAACCACTGTCGTGAGCTGACACGAACTTGAACCGGAAAAATGCTTGAACTTTGTAACAAATCCTGAGTATCTTACTTCGAGATTTAAGCCGAAATTGTCGTGTAAATCTATTTATTCGTTCAAGTTGCACATAAATAGGTTGGAATGACCACTCTGTAGGCAGCTTCTCATGTTTTAATTGCTATCTTATATCCGTGCATTAACCAACTTTAGCCTTTTCCCTCAGCGTATTAATGCACTCGATTTTTTGCCTTGAGGTTAGATTCTGATTACACAGCTGGCTAAAAACTAACTGTTTCATTAATTTATTTATTATAGTTTAAAGGCAACGTTTTCTGTTAACAGTACTAGATTCTAAATAAATGAAACATCCCTACTAAAAGTTGACCTCAATAAAAATTTAAAAATATCTTTTCGCGCAGGCTGAGCTATCAGTTCTAGCTATTTGTTTACTGCAGGTTTCGAAATGAAGACACAGTCTCCACCTCTCTCTTATTTGAACTATCTATGTATGTTTCGTCTTCCTCTTCGGTTATTCGAAATTTTTCCCGACGTGATCTGCATCCATTTTTCGAGACGTCGGCGCGAGACATGAGATGGGGCGTGTCATCTATCTTCAACAGATTGGGTTAATTTGCCTAGTTTTCATGGACTTCAATATTTGCGAAACTTTGCAAACACGTAACTATGGGAGGCACCATCTTGGGACATATATCTTTTAGAGAAGAACCTTCAAAATGCAGAAGCCCCCTTTTAAACTGGAAAGATGGTGTTAGTTTTGAGCAATCATTTGGTTAAATGAATAAAATCGAAAGCATTCGGCTGCCCAGTTGAAGATGGCATGCGCCACGCCCACAAAACACGCCTCACTTTGTTAATTGACACTTTAATGCGAGGTCAGGAGTACGAGTTAAATCAGAAAAAAGACACTAGCTATATCAGATTAAGATCGTAATGGAAGAAAGATTAAAATTTCAGCGTAGCAAGGTATAATCAAAAGAATAACGAAGAGAACTGAGTTATAGTCTGGCCACAAAAGGTTAAGTACTTAGAATTATCTCTAGCGACATATTTCCGTTTAATTTTTGCAGGACTAAAAATTATTGAATGCATGTTTCTAGATATAAAAATGACTTATGCAGTTTTCTGAATTAACTTTGACCAAACGGTATCTATAACTTACCTCAAAAATCAATGTTCTTTACGCAGCATAAACGAATTTCAAGGACCGCCTGATGAAACTTTACTTTCCATATTACAGAATCCTATGGCAACTAAACCGGATGTGGAAATGAAATAAAAAATGACACTCATAAACCTTTTTGGCCAAAAAGACTACTAATAGACAATTAAGATCCCAATTAAGTCCTAAACAAGATACTAAATTTTTGTCCACCTTTCTGGCTTACACAATGAATAACAGAAATTTTCGGTTCTGCAAAATATTCGTGAATAACGGGTGTTTCGTGATTTATCGCCCTTTAGAATCTGCAAAGTTAACAACCCTTTATCAGTTAATCGGTTGGCGTTGCGTAGGTCTTTCCTAAACTTCAGAATTTAAAGGTCCCATAATATGCCTAGTTATATAGGCAAGTAACGTTTCCGCCTGTTTCTTGACTGACTTGCGTCCTCTACGGAATGTCTCAAGTCAACACCGGAAATACTTTTTCCATAGTTACTCTTGAGCGTTTGCATTCCGCAGACGCGAGCAGACTAGAAGCGCGCTGGTAATTTAAATGTTTGTCACAGGTAAGGATATTTTAAGAGGCAGATTTGTTTAAATATGGCACTTAGGCAAGACCGTCGCCTAAACTAATTTATTCTGGCATTTTTAGGTTAGACAAGCGATATCCTCTAGTAGTTTTTGCAGTTCGTATAAAAAAGTCTACAGTAGAAATGTATGTTAGAAGCTTTCAAAGCGTAGCAGCAGCTGCGAGAAAGGCATAAGTCCAGCTAATCCGGAGGGCACTCCTATTCTTTCTAAGAACTTTTCCTCAGACATGTCATTTATTATGTTGTAGAAAATAGGTAATTTTCAAAAATGGGCATTTCACCAGACGATGAAATAATTTTGGGAGCAAACCACACTGTAAGCAGTTCGATGAGAAGATATAAGCTACCAGCCGGCTCCAAAAATCTTGAACTCTGTGGCAGACTGAAGGACAGTTTATACGCCGTTTAATGCGCCAATCTCTCTAGGTTTTTTCTTTGGTATATAAATTTTACATTCAACGTCAAGCCTTTCAGACATACCGATTTAACACCAGATTGTCCGTCTTTGTGACCTTAGTTTTATTCCTCTGGCAGTTGTATCAACAGAAAACCCACAAATGTATCCTATAATACTTCGGACTTGGAGGGGTGTTCGCTTTTGAATCCGCTTATTCGCGATCTCCTGTAAAAGACGCATCCGGCAAAAAGTGGTCCCTTACGTAGCATATAGTTTCAAGTTAATTTTTGATAGTCTTATAAATCCAGGTATATTTTGTAAGGAACGGACACAAAAGTACGCTTTCGTCCGCTCATTCGGTAGAAAATTAAGTCTTTTTGCACCTCATCCTCGAAAAAGGAATGCGTATATGCTCAGACAAAGTTTTATAATTCCAGAATAATATTGGGTCACATCAGCTGTTGCACTCATGTTAAACAATTTTAGCCTACAAGGTGCAAACGTTTCGCGTAAGAAAGATCATATATCCCTCTAGGTCTTTAAAAAGATACCATATAGAGTTCACAGAGTTTTACAATGAATGCGGACTATGTTGGATATTTCATGTGGAGCATTAAGAAACGGACAAGTGCGACGCTGTATAAGTGGACATTGCATGATCTTAAAAAATTCATTATTAGAAACTTTTTAAAACCAAAAGGCACTCTTTCTTCAAGCACTGATGTGAAGGTGACGTGATTTTTTATCAAGTAAGCAAAAGAAAGCAGACCTTTCTGGATGTTTTCTATAAAATATGTCGGAATTTAAGGCCACAGAAAATTGACGTCAAAAGCATACTACTCAGGTAGCCATTTTTTCCGAATGCGGCTTTTATAAGGGGTCGCAAATAAGTGCATTCAAAGGCGAACAACCTGCCAATTACGGAATACCGTAGGATTATTCCGCATGATAATCGATATTACAACTCCACTTAAGTAATCCTTCCTCACCGAATACGTATTTTAGAATCTCCTCTGACATTTCATGAGATCGGTCACTCGCTGTATTATAACTCGACTTACTAACTTACGCATGTGGCTTGCTCAATACTGACACCGAAGTTGGCCCCAAGGATTTCGAAGAAATGTAAAATCAGTTATGCAAGCCCTCCCCTTACAAAGAGTCAGAGGACAATATGCTTTTCACATCTCATAGGAAGAAGATATATGCCGGCTTTTAACTGCCTTGAATGGGCCCGCTGATGTTGTCTGTATTTCTTCCCCGACAGACTGTATCAACACTCTTCGAAAAATTTCTGCGGCATCCGAAGATGGGCAAAGTTACAAGACACTTCCTAAAACCAATCCTCAAAACCACACCTCATGAACTTCTGTGGGGCTATGAGGATAAGCTGCTGAAGACTTGCAATCGCCTGGCTCCGGAATTGTGCAAAATGAGCGAAATTGGAATGCTGCATGGTGTGAGTCTTCAACGCTTTTTGCTGTGAAATCACTGCAATGTCATTCCGCAAGTAAAAACAAACTGCCTGATTACATTAAACTTGTCCATTGTAGCGTTGTATTACCCCCTCCTGAACTGAGTATTCAAGTATCTATTCGTAGGTAAAAGCGTGTCGGACATGTAAATACAGACCCCCATGCTAAATGTACCCTCGGAACAAATCCCGTGTCCTGGCTTTAACCCTAACTCCAAACCTAACCCCAAACCCTAATCCTAACTCTCTAGCCCGCATTCTAACAACAACGCTAACCTCATTCTGTCTCGAATTTAGGGCAAGGCCACCAGTCATACCGGGGTCCATATTTCCACGCCAAATCGTAAAAATTATACCTTGTTCCCTACAACCCGACTGACAACGGCACAAAGTATCAGTTTTTACATTGAAACCTTCTAAAAATCTCTTCGGTGTAGGATTATATGACCTCGATCGAGTAACACAAATGGACTTATTTATTTGGGCGAAAAGCTGAACCACGGATCGTTCGTGTTCATCTGCCCTCCCCCTGACTGCTGTACATAACGACTGCTTTAAGCCAAACGCTGCATTTCAAAGAACATATAAATATGCATTTTATGCAAACTGAAGGGATACTGTTCTTTTATAATGGAGGATTGAGGGAGTCGACAAAATTCGCAACCAAGGGATTTCTGCCACGAAGAAAACATCAAAAACGAATTGTTCGCACTGCGTAGTCCAGTAGTTTTGTGAGCAGGCTACTGCAGTTATTCAAAAACCAAACTGTAACGTGTCACAGTGACGGCAGGGAACCAGAAAAGATGATAGTCGGACTTGCCAGACGCCTAATGAGTGCTGGACAGAACTATCTTTGGCAGAATAGGAACAAAGCACAGTTCTCACTTTGAAATTTCCCGCTCTTTTAATCTCTTGCCCCCATACAAGTCTCGTTATCAGCTACGTTGACAACACTAACGTGTAAAATACTTTATAGTTGAATACCTAAGTTTATGCAGTGGCACTGAGACCTAGTATGTTTTGCTGGGATTTATAGATCAATTTTTAAGGTTTTTAGTATATTTTAGTTGCAAGCAGTAGTGTGTCCTTAGACGCTTATATGGTTTGCCCTAAAATCATTCATTATCTAGAATCAAAAGCCTTTTTAGTAGTTTGTTTGCTTAACTCACTGGAATAAGATATAAATTGTCTCGTCCCATATATTCGTTAGCTTTAACTCAAACAAATGATTTTTGCAAGTTTGGTAGCATGCAGGAACATCCTAACCCTTTCAAAAACACTCTATGTGATGCAGTCGCAGATTACCCACGACAAAACTCTACTTTTCATTTTCATCCAGAAAAAGAGCTCCATTCATGGACCTTACAAGATAGATACCGGTGTACGGGATCACGCAAAATTGGGCTTTCTACTATCGGTAGAAAACAAAAGGTAACAGTAGATTGTAGACTCTGCATGCTGCAATTTCTACGAGAACGAACCTATTGGGTTGCGTTTTGGCATCAACAAATAAATTGTAAACTGTTCTCATTTTTAACAATCCAGTTCATTCGTGCCTTAACAGACTATTTTTTCAGATAGCTACAACAAGTAGAATGATAGTCGAAGCCGATATTTGCTGCGCGTATCAACGAGTATAGAAGGGTGATAATGAAGTTCAGATTTGTTCAAAATTTCCGCCTGATTAGCCAAATTACCCTGGGGGTATGATTACAACTTCGTAAAAGGGTAGTGCTGTGTCCATAGTTTCTGAACTCACCTACCACTTGTCCGTTATTGAAGCAATTTTAGGAGACCCACAGTCACAAATGCTGAGTCAGAGAGCATGCCCGCACTAGACATCTCCATAAGCAACGGATTGTATTATAAACTTCCCCTTTAAGGTGTGCTTAAAATACTAACAGTATAGCAAGCAACAAAGATCGTTTTCCATTATGGTGAGAGCCGAAGACCATTAAAACCTAGCTTTTTAGCAAATGCTTCAGCTGTTTAGGAAAAGTGACGATTTCTTTTTGATGCGTTTTTGTAGCGAACTGGACGTTTGGGTAAATCCAGAAGCCAACAAATTTACCGGGCCAAGTAAGTGTCCATTTTCAGATATTCTAAATAATTAAATCACGTTTTTCTGCTTAAAATTTTAATAATCAAGGAGGGTACTGCAACTACTTTGTTACTAGTTCTTTAAATTTATAAAAGCATAGTTAACAGCACAGTTACAGCTGCTTCTGGTCGGTCAGATCAAAATCATAACAGTCTTCGTCCTTACACAGCAGGGCTCCAAACTCACCAAAAGATTGGGAAATAGTTAACATAATTTGAGATGTTATTTATCAGGCAAAAACTTAGCAGATGACTCTCAACACTGAAGAATGTAAAGCAATAAGAGGAGGAATTTTTAGGCATTTTCATGGACAATATCACTGATGTGAAGTATCTATTTGTGTTCTAATCAAAAACAACAAATCTCGTATTTTGATTTCCCTTACGCTTATTGAGTTAGATTCCCTACTGCGGCCATGTAGTGGAACACTTGTCATGGTGGTTGTAAGAATTGCGAGAAGGTAGGGTCCTTTAAAGAATGTCGATCATGTTAAAATATATTTTTTGCGAGGAGAGAAAACGAATTATGCCCGCCTTAGTAACCTTTTAAAATTACTAGCCCAGTTCTAGTAATTGCCCTGGGTTTTTTGCATTATAAATTCCTAATCATAGCAGATTTAATGCGAATGCGGCTCAAAAAAAGTAAACCTGTTTGCAGTGAGCATTACAGATAACATAAATACTTACTGACATGTTACCTATTTTATTTCGAAAACAGTGTATGCATTCACCCCGCCGCATGTCACTGTGGGCTCATATAGAGAGATGTTCTCACCACTTGTCTGTCGCTCCTTCACATTCAAAGTGGCGGACACAGTGTCACATCCAAACTTCGAACATTTAGAGGTAAGATTTCCGAAAGGTAGTTAATGTCGCCGACGTAATTAGTGGTCAGTGTACTGCATATGGCCCATTTAACAAGTATTTGTAGAATTTTCGTAAAAATTAACTATATAAAAATGTCAACAGCGCGGCAAATGCCTTCACTCTTTTGTACAACTTCGACTTCTAAAGCAAATTTCCCACGGCTCTACGCGGAATGCAATGGCACCTGTGTTTCAAGACTTTGGCAGAGTAAGGATACTAATGGGAACGTGAGCAAGAGGGAGATGATCGCATTTTCGAAGACTGATATATTTGTATGGCATGGATACAATCTTCACTTGGCCACAAAGTCATAAAAAGCTTGCGCTTACTGTCTAAAGTCTAGGTTTTCCCAAATCCGGGGAAATAACGTCGACGCAACGCTAAATGTAATTACCGTTTGTTATTTAAAGGAGGCATGAAATTTGCGCAATAACCAATTTTCATATAAACAATGAAGAAGTAAAATTCGGCAAACATACGTTTTCGATTATTTGTCATCGTGGGAATCATCGCGGACCTTAGGCATTCTACGGTCCCCTCGGCGTTCAACGTTACAACACCCGCCCTGCCAGAGCGATCTTCATTTCCGACTTCATGACGAACTATGCTGTAAGAGATGGATATTCTTATGAGGCTTGAAGACTGTTTCGCAAAAGTCGGACTATAATCTCGAGTGCAACACTGAAAATGCCGTCTACTTAATCGAGTAGAATGTAACGCGGAGAAGATAGGCGAACTATATAGAAATACTTACCAACACATGGCGATACAAAACGAATAAGCTGACGAAGAATGACGACCATTTAGCAATATCAGTCCGGTAAACGCACAGGATACTGTTACAAATATTTTGGTGCGGCACGAGCACAGGCTCAGTTCTTGAGAAATCATTGACCGAAATAGTATTCTTGAAGCAAAAATGTTGCTTTCCTAATCAGAGGCCAAATAGATTACTGGTAGGAGTTTCGTCTTAAGGCTTGTCAACCTAACGCATGACTTAGTGTCTACAATGCCGGAAGCCCGATTTCACTGAATTCGTTCTAACCTGTTGGTGACAGTTCACGAGCGAGTTCAACGCTCGCTGATGAGATTGAATTCAGGAGACTGAAGTAAACTAGGGACCAAACCGAGATCACTAGAACCTAACTCACAACACGTAGTCAGACGTTGAAAGTCCAATGTTTTCCTCCTGAACAAGGATTCGGATCTCTTGAACCCGATGGCGCAAGCCTCTCCAGGGCTGTATGGTTACCAATGATTCACAAACCGAACCTTCCCAGGCAACCGATATTAAACATGTGCATTTCACCTTATCACAGAATTTAGAAGTTGTTGACCCAAACACCTCAACTGATTCAACGCGAAGTAAAATCATGCAACCTAGAGGATGCTTTTGAATTTAATAACTCCGTAAGGAATCCAAATCTTAATAGGAAAACGACGTTTTTCTTAGATGTCTAGTCTTTCTTCGCTAGTATTCCTCCAGAGAAACGACGAAACATCTATGTGACGAGATTGTTAAGTGGAATTTCCCGGCTGGCTGCTCCTCTACCGCATGCGGAATGCTCAGTTCAGCATCGATTGCCAATTCTTTCGCCAGATGTAGTGAAAATGGGATTACCCTTGGAACCACCGCTAACGAACATGTTCATGCGAAAGCTAGCATAGAATTAGTTCTATTTATCTATAAGAGACTTTGATTTCTATGCTGGATTTGCTGATGACATTTTTATACCAGCGGGTGAAAAACTTGATTTGGACACCCTCCTAGAAAAAACAAATCCAGCTCAGAACAATACACAAATTTCTACAGTTTTGCCCTAAAGCGTTAGAAAAGAAGCAAAGTCTGCAGTCTAAACAACCGACATAGGAAACTGTGCACTGCGCGTAACTTAGAGGACGAACTCGCCTGTATCTCGAGATATTTAAAGGAACATCCGCCAAAACCGGAAGTAAGGTCTGCTTAAATAAATGAGCTATTTCACACACTGCCGATTTGAGGGAACTCGGCTAGCGAACTTCTGCAACGCCGCGCGAATCATGCTATCGCGCACGTATCCAGACGCCAAGATAAGACTAATTTTCTTCAGGACTTGGAGATAAGGATAGACTATCCTTTTAGAAAACGTCAGCTTACATTTACATATTCGCTTACTCCTGTGGAGCAGGCTATATTGGCAAAACGTAGGAAAGTCCAACTCTAACGTAACTGTAGGTGGCCTTGTTGACAGCGGCCACTGAGTAGACGTCAACCAACCATTTCGGGCCACCTACAAATTTGCGGCAAAATACTCTACGTTGTTGCGCTAGCGGATATTTGCGACGACAGAGACGGCGGCCATACGGCTAGCCAACCCAATCCTCTGCCCGCTAAAGGCGTTCTTTCAGGCCTTTGCGTTATCTTGGCACAAGCTGGGCCCCACGTGTGTGTACCCGCATCCTGTCGAGCAGCATCAGAGCGACGAAACGGAGGCATAAATTTATGACAGTTTCCCCTTTATTCCCCCCCCCATGATCCTTGGCAAAACCATATCACATTTACCCCTGGTTTCTGACATGCTCGAACTTCCTCAACCCTCTCCTCCATGACTGCTCTTCGCTAGTTGCCTTCAACTTTCTATGCTCTATCGAAGCACATTAACATTAGTGCACCGATCTGCTGACGAATAATCGAAAGTGCACCTTCAACTAATTGAATTTCTTTGATTAATTCTCGCTCAAAATTTGTGACTAGTCAATCGGAATTCAAGCCTCATTCATAAATTAATCCGAGGGATGTAATTTCAAACCGAAATGAAGTCAGATATCTGGCATATGTCTTTATTCTGGAGGAGCAAAGTAAGAAACGTTTAGTGCAACATTTAAATGAGGTCGTTCATAGGTCGAAGCAGTGTATGAGCATGCTGCTTAGGTGATCTCTTTTCTAAAATATAATACTTACTATAGATCATGTCTGATGCTAAAATCATTCAACGTAAGAATGCCCGAGCAACGTTTGCTGATTGACCGAAAATTTGAAAGTTACTTTTTCGTTGCGCTTTGATCACGTGTTTGTATTAGTGTGTACTTTTTGTCCTCTACTCTACGCAGTGAAAATGCATGGATACGCCACTGTCTCGCTGGGTTGACTTTCATTTAAGCTACTGAAAACTCGCATTTCTGGCTTCTTGCGATATTTGCATATGCCTAACGCAAGTGTACGGTTGCGTCTTGCTTCAGTAGCAAAACATTTCCTGCGTTTTAGTAATCATGTCCTATAGCAAAGTTCACTTTTGTCTCCATCTTATTCAAACCACAATTAGTCTCCATTTTTCCTTAATTTCCGCACAGCACACCGCATTCTATGTCTTAAAACGGCTAAGCACCAAGTAAAGCTGATACTCTTGGCCATTTTCAGGTCCTCCAGATGTCTCTGCTGCCAGAGACCTTTCATAGTACACTTGATCACCCTTCAAACAGAAAATACCTCGTAAACAACACTCCGGGACCCGAAGTGCCCCCCAGTGGCGTTATGGATTTATCCAAATGTATGGCGGTGGGCGGCCTACAAGTTCCAATTTTCGGCTCCTTGCCCTTCTTCCGGGATGCTTCAATCGAAGTGTCCAGCGGGGTTGAATTTATAGACGCGCCGCCACCAGGTCCGGATATCGCTTTGAAAGTAGAGCCAGTGAGTCCTCCTAATTGGCGACCTCTTTAGCTGTCTCCTAAACTGCTTTCACGGTCATGCGTTACTTGATTGTTTCGTGTACATTTTAATCAGAAAATTCTACCGCTCATCTGTTCTACTCCAATAAAAATCCAAAAAAGGCTTGCGCTGGTGCGCTTGCAGACAGTGGAGGGGGAGGAAACAGAAAATGCGTCACATTTCGTGCTAAAAAATCATACTTTGATTTCCCAGAGCTAAAGGGCTACCTTTAACTCGATGCTTTTCGAGCAAAATGACTACTCTCACAACTTGAGGCTTAACAGACACATGAGACCGGGGGGTTACAAAGCCCCAGGATGTTACAACAGAGTAAAGTTAAAAACTTGATCATGATTGCCGGGTTAAAGGGTGCATTCGCCGATATCAATAGTGAAAGACTCACCATACACACTTGTTAGTTACCGCGCTACTCGAGAGTCCTTCTAACTACTCTATCTATCTTGCTTTTTCACTTCGTTTTCTAAAGAAAAGACATTATAAATGGCTGTTAGCATTCAGCGGATCTGGACAGCAAGCATAGGCGTCAGAGAGGCGCGGAAAAGCCGTTATCTAACTATTTATTCCGAAATGGTTTTTCAATTTTCATCAGTTTTGTTCAGATATGTTCATTTTTCCTACCCATTTCGGCTTCTTATAAACTAGTGTCAATTTCCGAATAAAATTTCGTCTTAGAACGGCAGATGTATGTACTTTAACGCCAGAATTATAAAACAATTCTTTTTATGCCGGACAAAACGCCAATTTTTTAATATAATTTGTTAAAACACCTCACACACCTCTAGACGTAACTTATACTCTGCACATTGGACTTGTTAATAAAGAACTGAATTTTAACACCAGTTTTCAGAAAATGAGAGAATGGTTTGCTAAGCCGTTGTTCTCCGTTTAGGCAAATCATCAAGACGAGGAAAAACAAAAATTCACTTGTCACTTAGAGTGAAAGCATTTGAAATTTCAGGAAACACATCCTTCAGATTCTCAAAAGTGCGTAATGTAGTTTACAAATTACTTCGTCCGGGAAATCTTCCTCCTTTATCCTTTGAAAAGAACACCAGCGGCCATATTTACTAAAGGGTAGCTGTTTTTTTCTATACCAAAATCTACACTGGTCCTTTCGTCAGCATTTCAGGACAGCGTAAATTGTCTAGACAGTACTAACATCTAGTAGCAAATTTTCTATCTTTAAAATGCAAGATATATGCCAGGAAGCAGAAATCATTTAACCAGGACGGACGGTTGAGCAATTAAAGCCATCTTGAAGTGAATTATGTTCGAAGACTCGTCATTAATAAAATCCAGCTTCATGAGTTTCGCACCTGGAGTAAATAGTTTCCCTCTTGAATAATAAAGAAGTGGCCGAGGACTGACAGTGCTGTGCTGTTTCTTAAATCATTCAAAATGCAGTTTTGAAGTCACTAGTCTCACTAAAACTTAAAAGTTCGCAAGGCAATAAAAATGTCGACCTGCCTCGCGTCGGCCTTCGTATCAGCCTGGAATCGCCACGGACGTAAACCCTGCAGGAAGTTCAAAATGTACGGGGCGGCAGTTCTGACGACGCTGCTATACATGGACCTACGGCAAACAAGCTAGGCATCACAATCGCTTCCACCTCAGCTGCCTCGGAGAATAGTAAGGCTGGTGTAGCAGATCAGAAATGGAAGTCGTGTGACGGAGCGGAATCCTCAGCATTGACGCCATGTTAATGCAAGTCCGTCTACAACGGAGCGGCCATGTTCTGACGATAAATGACCAGGGCCTACTAACTGGCTCTTTTACTGCGACGTCGCAGTAAGTGCCCGAAGCTTACGATCTGGGAGGACATCATTCAGGACCGACCGTTCCGGAGAAGAGCAGCGAAGACTTGAGCAGTAGTCTACGCGGCCAACTGGATCGTCACTGTCAAAGCAAAGTCTCAGGCACCTTCGAACCACAACTCCAGCATCTGAACACATCCATCGAAAACCGACAGGGCCCAGTGGTTAGAGGCATGGACTTCTAATTAACAGGTCGCGAGTTCGAGCCTCGAATGTGCCACACTTCGAGGTTGGGTATAACTGGCTGACGACGGCTAATAAGCCAGAAATGGTCATTCCAGTCTCCCTTGTCTTTGTCGGTAATGACATACATCCAATGTGTCCACGTTGCCAATAACCAGTCTGCGCACTACTCGGCCTCGTCGAACATCTCCGGACCCAGCGTAACAAATCCCATAGATCCAATTACTGTCTCTGCAAATGCATCCATATTCACCCCTATAGAAACCCAAGCAACAGTGATCACCACCCCTATTGCCGTCACCGGTGATCACACACTCCTGATGTCCCAACCTCCTAGTCGACATCGTAGACCCCACCAACTCTATCATTCCCGCCAAAACCTCTGTGACGACGGCGAGAACGACTACCACCTCGTCCACTCCCACCACCGGTGAGGACGCTCTCGATGCCCCGTCAAATAAAATCCTAAACACCACTGCGCACAACAGCAGTTGCGCGGACTCGATCCCAATCTGTCCTCATTATGATTTCGCCTTCATTCTACGCATAGGTCTGGTCGGTCACTTACAAATCTATTGCATAGAGGCTGGCGGCACCAACGCAAACACCCATAGCCCTCGTTTTAAATTGCCGAGGCACATTGAGTCATCCCATGAGCCTACCCGGCCGCACGCGATTCTGTAAAATCCTGCAGTAAAACACTCTCCGTCAGGCCTAATCACCACACTTCTCCTCACAAGCTCATGCCCCACACACGAACCCCTTCCCATTTCTCACCACAGGCACGAAACCAGCACCTCTTACATACAGTAAGTGTGGTAACTCATGAAATTTTAACCGAAATTCTAAAATGCGTTTTCGTATCATAAAGATTGCTTGAGTAGAGTTTTAAAATTAGTTATCCTGCAGCATAATTCTATAATAATTCAGTTATCTCAGGACGCCGGCTTTCAAACAAACTTGCTTCCGGCCGCATGCAAAAACTCCACGGCGAAAAATAACTACTTCCGTAGCATGAATTTTTCTCATTGATTTCCGATGCCACTGAATGTCCAATTTTATTTCATAGAAAACAGGCATAACATATTCATTCTTTTGCTCATTAGGTAGAAAATTATGTCTTCTTCCAATTTTATACACGAAGGAAAGGAATAATTCGGTTTAAAAAAAACATTTTTGATCCCCGAATAATTTTGAACCCGATCCGCCGTCACACTTTTATTCCGGGTTTCAAATCTACAAGCCGTACATTTTCAGCGTACGGAAAACCATACATTCCTCTATGGTATTAAGAGGAACCTATATGGGGTTCATAAAATTTAGCAGTGGATTTGAGCCATATTGTAAACTTTACAAGCAACATTAGCAAATGCAGAGACACGATGTTCTATAAACTGACATTCCACGGCATTTAAAAATCTCATAATTAGAAACTTAACAGAATTATATCCTTCCTTTGAGTATAAAATTGGAAGAAGACGTACTTTTCTACCGAATAAGTAAAAAATGAATAGTTTATGCACGTTTTAAATGCATGCTAATTAAGTAGTCATTTTTCACAGAGTGTCTTCATTGCATGCATCTGCAAAGAAGATCGTTCGAAAGCCGGCACCTCGATAGAACTGAATTATGCTAGCATTATGCAAACAGTATGACTAATTTAAAACACCTATTTAAGTAATCTTTATGAAACGAAGACGCATTTTAGAATTTCGGTTGAAATTTTATGAGCTACAATTATCAAGTCAAATCTCAGATTCGAAGAAGACAAAAGGTAGTAGAATGAGAGGTATAATGTATACAGGTCCCGGAGTTGTACTCTCAGGCGCCAGTAGCCACTGGCAAAGCCCGGACTGGTGTTGACTGCGTCCAGTTATGCCTGAGAGTCCCTTGAACAGTGGTGACCAGCCACTTTTGTAGGCTCATGGGCCAAGCTCAAGTTGTTTCCCGTCAGTGTGTGCTGCATTTGCCGAGGGGTGGTTTCCAGTGGCCTAGGAGGGCGGTGCGTTCAAGTGGCCTCATGGGCAGCTGCGGCTGTGTGGACGCAGGCATGTCCGAGCTGTTGGTTGCGTGACTTCAGGTCAGCGCGTCTAGAACGGCTCACTGCAAAAGGGTGGATGACCTTGAGGCAGAGAGGTCCTGAACTATGACGCCAGACCGCTCATGATGGCTGTCCGCTACAGGTAGGGATCGATTTTTAGGCTCCTTCTCCGTGCGGCCTCTCTGCCAGGCTGGAACCTGTCGGTCCGGGCAGTCCGGCCCCTTTTGTACGAAATCCTGATGTCTTATGCCAGGAGACAGGTCGTGTGTGTTGCACACGCAGTCGGGCCTTGTAGTTCCGTGAGCCATAAGGCCCAATCTGACCTGATCGGACTGTGGATTGGTGGATGGTGGAGGGAAGACAGAGTGGAGTGGACTGTCAGCGCGTATTCCTCACTACTGACAGTCTGACGAGCTGTGGCATGGAAGATTTTCAGCCGAGAGGACAACTTGGTTCTCCTCACAGGACGGAGATCTGAACTGATTAGGAGTGCCGTAGGGGTCACATTGAGAAGGGGGCATTGCGGCCTTTCTGGCTTTGAGAGAACGCGATCTATTTTGTACGCGAAGCTGGGCTGTTTGGCTGCAACAGCCAATGAGCCTTACCCCGCCTCTGCTCTTCGTGACTCTGCCTTGACAAGATGGTGTTCAGGTTGGTGGGCAGGAGAGAGTGCGGTAAAGGTAGCGCAGGTCTAGCACCAATACAAATCAATTCAGATGCAGATTATCTCTCTCCTAAACCCACCGTTCTATGTAGGCAGATATAGTCAGAAGCGACGGGTGAACTGTGGAGACTTAATGAAACATTCGGAGAACGGATTTTATTGCAACCGTCTCCGAGGATGGGCTCGAGTGAGAATCCGAAGCGTCAGGCCAATAAACTTCTTGTTCCAGTGGTCGCAGCCTTTTCTTCTGGATTTTACTATTTAATGTATTTGTCAAATGACGGTAGTCCAAACTTGCAGATCAAACTAGGTAGGCGTCAGTGTACTTGAGTAGATTTACTACCTTCCAGGCTGGTTTACTGGATGTTTTGGCGTCGCAATTTAAATAAGTGTTTGTGAGAGTCTCGAGAAGGAACTGGTCGTCGGCCTTTATTGTTCCGATAGGTAAATCACCTTACTTCTGCCCTTCTTTAGCAAACAGGGCTTATTCTTGAGGGAACGAAGCGCCTCCAATTCAATATATACTCTCGAGGGACAAAAAACCAGTGAGTTTTTTCTAAACATCTAAATCACTCTTTTTTAATTTCACAACGCATGCATCATTGCATTCCGCGACCTGTTCATTAAAGTGTTGGTGTGTTCTAAAGTGTCGAAGAATGGCGTACTTTAAAATGTTCACAACATTTAGAAGTTCTATTCTCAGACGTCGATGACCTCTCCATGGGAATTTTTCAAGATTCCCTAAGGTTTCTACTTTTATCTGATTTTAGTGGAGTATTTCGGGAATTCCCGGATGATATATTCTTGCCACTCGCGTACGTCTCAGATGTAAGTCACTGTTATCCCTGCTTTGTGACCTGAAAATTGCCACATACTTAGTTCTAACGATCTACCCCGTACAGAACAGACAAACAAACGCGAAGGCACCATATTAATGTTAAAAGTATTAAAACGACCATTTGTTTGCAGTCCGGGTGAAATACGCTAAATTATCAGGCGCGCTAAATTTCATAACAGAGTTGATATAGCATTCTTACTGCCCGTTTTGTACCATTTCGACAAAACAACCATTCGGTTGTCCTGCTTTCCACTGGCGCTGTTCTGAGAATGATCCGAAATGTTTTAAAGCACTCATATTGGCTTAGGAAGCGTTTCCGAGCGGGATAAAACTAAATAAGCACTTCCTTATTTTCTGATTTTCTTGCTGTTTCTCATTTAAGTACGAAATTGCCGGGAAAGAGGTCGTGGAAAATCTGCATTATATGCTGAACGTCTTGCCCAAGATACTTGCAAACATTCTACTCAGTGTCGCCTGTCTCTCTCTTCTTGCAATCCTCTCGACGTTGGCCATATTCCATATACTTCTTCTCCAAGTAGACTACTCATATGCCTACCTGTTTTCCATTTTACTCGGCAAAAGTGATCTCAAAAAGCTCTTCGTTGATGAGGACTCACTTTCTGTATATTCGCAGGAGGAAAAGGTGGACTTTTAACATCTTTCCTCTAGTGCACCAGCACACACACATGTGTCCAGATTGAATTTGTAAATGTAATATGTATATTCCAGTCTTTTGCATTTTTTATTCAAAGTGATGGGAAGGCAGGCAAATAATGGATCATATGAAGATAATAACTAAAAAGTTTTTAAGCCTTCTTCTGCAGTGAGAGCTAACTACAGTCAGGTATCAAAACATAACATGGACGTATGATCAAGTAAATTAATGCGAGCAAACTGGCTACGGAATCCTGGCTTTCATTTGATCATAAGTATTTTTATTCCGTACTTTTTGTTGACAGAATCACGCTCTGAAGCCAACGGGCAATCAACTTAATACACAAAATATCGAGTACTTAAGAATCATACAGATATTTGCATAAAACTACGGTCGGGTGTGGTTTTGCAGTCCCACCTGAAGTAAACAAAACCCAGTCACCTCTAATACGGGGCCGGTGGTAATAGGGGTTTTTAGTGTGTAGGAGTGGGCCGTCATAACGGAATTTTGGTGGGTGGTCTTCAGACTTTGTTGCTAGGAATTTATCGTATATATTTTTCCCATGATAGTCGCGTAGGCCAGCCGGATGCCTCCATGATCATTGATCAGGTCTCCTTGAAAGTATTGGCGACCACCTCCGTCAACTCGAGCGACCGGTTGCTTAGTAGTTTCAGTTGACCTGCCGGCACTTATAAGTCATTTCGAAAGTGCGTTTTTTGTTCAAATGACGTAACTGTATCCGGGGAAGCAGGTGATAGCCGAGACTACACAGGTGGCATATTCGAAATAAAATAACGACGCAGGTGTTCGTCTGCTGACAAAGGACATCAAGACAATTATCAATGTTTGACAAGCTGCCAAACGTGAGTCATTGATCGACAGAAGAGAAATGGGTGAATTACGATAGGTGATTTACCAGACATATATGTCGATAAGTTTTTTATGCGACAGACCCGTACGCGGTGGTGGGAATGCGATTAAAAGTGTTTGCACGCGGCAACTTCTCTAACGATATGTTGTAAACTGCTGCGATTCCCTAGTCTATAAGCTCTAGCATTTTGTGTGGTATGCATATCCGACAAACCCATGTGGATCTGAACGTACTTTTTCTGTTAGAAGAGCGACGTTCTTACGTAATGCGAAAGAATTATTGGTCGGATCTTATTTCGTAGCCATACCCGCTGTGGACAAGCTCCAGCCTAACTCTTAACCCCAAGCCCAGTCCCAAACCCTAACTTTAACCCCTAACCCTGACCCCTAACTTCTAACCCTAGCCTCTAACAGACACGGCTACGAAATAGGATCTTGCCGAATTGTCTCATCAGCCGATGACGTGCGCTGGTCGGGTTGTGCTGACTCTGTACGAGTCCTCAGCCAATGCCCTACATATGCAGAACACGTGTTAGATGGATATCGCACACGATCCCATCACCAGTCGGACGAGAGGCTCAGATGGGCCATTTGCAAGTGTGAAAGGAAGGGGACAGGGAGTGCGACCCATTTTGGATTAAACACTTGACTCCTCGCCATAAAAAATTAAACATTCATTGAAACTCAGGTGGCGCCAACATTCCAGGCTGAGAGGGATGTACGCATAACAGAAGGCCGTCTGCAGGCAAGACGTGCACTGAGCACAGATGAGAGCACAAGTGGAGAGCCGTGCATGACAGAGGCGTGCATAGCGTGCGAGACATGATAGGCTGAAAGGCAGCCAATCAGCACCTAGGCGCACTGATCACGCCTCCGTGACCTTGAAGGCTTGCTTGTCACGGGAATGTGGCGCGATGTCTGGGACTCAGTGCAGACGACATGCAGTGCAGAAGGTTGCCAACCGACTGGGCAATCCTGTCCGACTTAAGGCTTCAGTGGCTCCTTCTTGATGTGGCGTTTGTGGCGTTTTCATTTGCATCGGATCCGAAATCCCTGTAATAAAGCTTGAGATGTGTGGAGCTAGAGATGAGTTCACTGTTGGGACACTTAGGCAGGCTGCTTAGCCCTTTCGATCAGTTCACCTGCATTTAAGTCCACATTCAATCGCCCTATCTTTGTCTTGCTATCTGAACGTAGTAGATGTGCGAAGTAGGTGTGCGAAAGTCTGCTTCGTTACACAATTCATAACTACATCCACTTTTTTGGTCAGTGGAGAACCGCACCACATAACGCTGGAAAAGCATCGACTTCTTAAATTTGCGTATGATGAGTCCGATGTTTCCTGTGCCTCTGCTATTCTGCCCGATGTTTTCACTGTTATGACATTCGAGTGTAGATCAGAAAGGCCGCACAAATAAGATTTCGACTGATCGAACCGCTTCTCTATCCAGTCTAAATTATTTTAACCATTCCTGCACCGGGTTCAGCACTAATCTGAAAAATGTATATGTGCACAGTAACCAATCTGCAAAATTCAAAAATTTAAATAGACCCCACAGAGACATTGCGCATCGGTCAACGTAGACATACGAGTTGTACTACCTCCTCAAAAGTCTTTCCTTGTGGAACTATAAAATGCAACATCTTCCGCGTCTGTAAGTAAAAGTTAGAGGGAATGAGTGGACAAAATCTACTTTCAAGAGGCGAACGGGTGTTCACTGGCAGATGTGTAATTGTGTTCCGGTGTTTCAGGAATACCGCGTCTGGCTAACTGGTTTGCAGCGAAATTTATTGAGCTGTGTATAGTTCTCATTGCGTGTTTTGTGGGTTGTATGCGCTATTAACAACAGTAGATGCTAATCCGACGTCCGCAGGAATAATTACAGTATATTTATTATTTCACGGATTTATACTATTAGGCTCTTCGACATTCTTTTACCAGTTCTCGTACTTTTGTGACTGCTATTTTACAGTCTGTACGCCTAGCTTTCAGTCATTCGCTTAC